GTCACTCGGATATTCCAACAAAACCTATTCACACGCCTTAGGTGAGATGAAAACACTGCAAAAAGCTGCCTGAAAGCAGCACAAGAGCCTCGCTCCGAACGCTCCCGCTCTCCGGTGCCGATGTGACACATCCCACTAATCATCCTGAGAGATGCTAAAGGGGGCCCGAGGCTGAGCCCTTCCATTGTTACTCGCTTTATTTGTTTGCTTGCTCATTTGAGCTGATTTTTCTTTAAGACAAGTGCTAATAATATCAAAAACCCGAGGAAGCCTTTGCCTGGCGCGTTCCTGCTGGGAATGCCAGCGGAGCGCAGGCACTCCGCAGCTCTTCCCGAGACACAAAGTGAAGTGTGAGAACAGGCATTTCACTCCTCTCCCTTGCAGCAGCAGCTCGGCGCAGCTCTGTCCTATTTTAACCCTGCCATCTGCTCGCAGCTCCTCCCGTCCCCAGGCGGGCAGAGCTGCTCCATCGGAGCCTCCCACCCGCCCGGCTCCGGCCGTGCCCCGGGTACCACGGCGGGACGGAGGGAGGGATGCTCCTTAAACACCCATCCACTCACTCATCGCTCCCGAGCCTTGGCAGGCCAGGGAAGATGCTGGATCCACCCCACTGCCGTGTCACTCTGGCTCTTCCCGGTCCCAGCGGGTTTAATGGAGCTATTAGAATCGTTTTAGTCGATAAAAGTAGATTTGTTTCACTGAGTCATGACTCAAAACCAAGACTTTGCTCCATTTACAAAAGCAAATCACCATCTTGCACATGCCAAGCACAGATTTCAGCTCTGAAAGTAAAGCCTGGGGAATGTTTCCAGCCAGAGGGAGAATGGAAAACTGCATCTGCAAAAGCTAGGAAACGTTTTTCTCATTTATCTTGTTTTGATAAACAGAGAGGATATCCTGTGGAATACCAGCTCCTGAAGAAACCCGATGAACTCATTCTGCATCAAGCGACTTAATCATGGATTAATAGAGGGGAGAGCAACAGCAGGAGATGCCACGGGACCAGGGACTGCAACACAACCCACAGATAATTCCAGCCAGTTCCTAGGTGGGAAGCCCTCGAGGAAAACTTGGGAGCCACAGAAAGCACCAGCAATTCTTTCTGCTTTCTGATTCATCCCTACTCACCCACCCACATGCCACGGCAGAGGAGGCTGTAACTGCTACATTTAGGATGACATTTAAAAATCAAGGTTGTGCTGCTGATGGTCATTAAAAATCCCACAGCGTTTTTCAGAAACAAGTGGGTACTCACATCAGTGTCCCTGCCAAGTATCAGCACAGCAGTCATTTTTTTCTAGCAACTTCAGTTAAAAGATAAAAGAAAATTGTGCCCACCTATAATTACTGTTGCTGTTAGTTTTTAAACATTCACTATATACCTTTACATTTCCTAAATACAAATTAAGAAGAAAACATTTCCCCAAACCTTTCCAAGTGTCAGATTCATCTCTGTTAACATCAGACAGCTACAATTAAGACTTCCAGCCCATAAAATCTGCCTGGGCTCCCTCAGTAACATGTCCTGACCTGTGGTCTGCACATCCCTGGAGACCCTGTGTCTCTTTTTCCATGGCACTTGCCCTGGCTAGCCCAGAGAGGCAAATCCTCTGCCCAGAGCTTTAGGGTCACTCTAAAGGGGGCTGCATCTGTTCTGAAAAGCATCTGAGGAATTCAAGGTCAGTGCAGCAAGCAGAAAAGATGATTTGTCTAATGGGAGATGGGGCTGCCTTTGACTCCTGCCTTAGCTGGAATGATTTGTCTGTTGGAAGATTCCCTGTCCCTGGCTGGATAGCCAGCTCAGGTGGAAACTCGTGTAGGAGCATTGAAGCTGGGTGACACAGATCCCATCTTCAGAGACAGGGTGAAGGAAACACTTTTGAATGCCTGAAACAAGCTCTCAAAGAGCCAAGATGATCGAGGTAGTTAACAAAATACAGGAATAACTCAAAGGATTCGTATGCAGGTGTAAGAAACAAGGCCATGGCAGGTACCAGAGCTGAACTGGGTGCTCAGGGAGAGTGGGAGCAGGGAGAGGAGCCCTTCCAGAAGGGAAGATTCTGCATAAAAGATGCAATGGAATAAGATAATTATGCAGGAAGAAGAGAATGTCAGCAGTGTGCCCTACATCACTGATGGATGGAGAGAGCAGATACCTTGACAAAGAAAGCCAACGTGCTAATTAAGATTTAATGACCCTGAAGGCAAAGACAAAAAGCCCTCCTTTGCCACAGTGGAGGAGGGAGTGGACAGAAAGCCTCAGCCTGGCAAGGGAGGGGTTAGGAAAAGCCCAAAAGATCATGAGATGAACACCACCTCTGCAAGGGGGAGCATCCAGGCAGGTTCTGCCAGGCAGGAGAGAAGGGCTCCATCCCTAGGGCAGAAAAAGCTCTGAGAGCTGAGCGTGGCTGCGGAAGCTGAGCTGCCTGCATCCAGGAACAGCTTGAAGGTGAAGGAGGAAGCGGGTTCAATTCATTCCACACTCTGGAACTGTGGAAAGACATACGCCAGGCAAATGTGAGTTGTGATGATCACTTCCCACTGCTAGACTCCGCTAGGAGGGGACAGGGAGGTGACACAACCAGGAGTTCACACATGTGCTGTGAAGGCGCAGGAGCAGCCAGGGCTTGCCAGTAATTGCTGGGGTGTAAAAGCCAGGCTGACTGCAGCCTCGTAAACAAACCTGGCTGTGCCTCCCCATGGCTCTGCTGCCCACGGGTCTGCCAGGGCCAGAGTGCACACCACGGGGCTGCCAGGGGAGACTGGGTGCTGTCTCTGCCTTGAGAAGCTTCAGGAAATCACTCCAGAAATCACTGGTCCTGCACCAATGCTTCTTGCCCAGCTGGATGGCAGCAGAAGCAGCCTGTGCTGAGGTGGGGCAGAGCATCTCCAAGCTGAGTCCATCAGCAGGACTCAGACTGAGCCCGCGCCATGCACACCAGGGGGATGACCACGGCCTCCAGCTGACCACACAAACCCTGCAGGAGGGGGCTGAGGAGCCACGTGCTGTGTGATGAGTGAGGACATGAGTGCAGCGTGCTCCTCTGGCCAGCCCCTGGGCTGTGACACGCTGGCCTCTTCCCAAGCCGAGCCGCCACTGCCTCCCGCTGACAACATCCACGACTGATTTGTGGCAATGACATCAGTGCCCACAAACATCCTGCCTGCTCCTGCCCTTCCTCACATCCTGCCCTTCCTGCTCTCCCAGCAGCAAGGACACCAGCCTGCCACCAGGCCAGGGCGGAGGAGCACAGCTGGGCTGGCTCCCACCTCACCCCACGGCTGGTGGCACCCAATGGCACCAGCACAGCACAGTGACACCTTCCCCATGCTGGGCAGTGCAGAGTCCAGGTCACAGCACTTGTGGATGATGTCTGGAAACCATCACCCCATGCAGAATAACCATCACACTGACCTGCTTCCTTGCCATTCTCTACCGTTTGTGCAGAAGCAAGAAAAATCCTCTGCTTGATCTCAATCAGCCATTTTTAAGTTCCACAGTGGATAGCAGCTATTTCAGGGATTCACCTCCACTCTGGACACAGGCTGAAAGAGGTGGAGTGGAAAATGGAATGCTCTGAGGTTTCCCCCTTCCACTGCCTAGAGGGCTCCAGGAGAACTGGAGAGGGACTTTGGACTAAGGCCTGGAGTGACAGGACGAGGGGGGATGGCTTCACACTGATGGGGCAGGGTTAGATGGGATATTGGGAAGAAAATGAGACCCTTGCACAAGGTTTCCAGAGAAGCTGTGGCTGCCTCTGGATCCCTGGAAGTGTCCCAGGCCAGGTTGGACACGGGCTTGAAGCAGCCTGGGACAGTGGAAGGTGTCCCTGTCCTTGGCAGGGGGTGGAATGGGATGGGCTTTAAGTCCCTTCCAACCCAAATCATTCTGGGATTCTGTGATTCTCCTCTCCCAAGAGGGCTGAGTGCCCAGAGGAGCTGGACACAGACCAGTCCTCATGTTGGGAAGCAGGACTTGGACAGGCTTGGTTTAAGTCCATCTTGCAGAACCATTATGTTCAGTTCCAGTTCCCTCTCTTTTCTGTGTGTTCACTGTGAATTCCCCAAATGCAGCACAATCTTTCAGCATTCCTGCCATGGGATGAATCTGGGCAGGTTCCCGGGCCTCACTCGCTGCTCCCTGTTTATGTCCTTCACGCTGTGCTGTGACAGCCCGTGCCACAGGATGCCTTGGACAATCTGGGCCACATATTTATGGCCGTGGACCTCTGTGGTTCACAGCACAAATTTGGGAACCCATAGCTGACCATGGACACATCACTCATTCTTGAAATGTAGGCCACAAAGCTACTTTAGTTCTGCTTTTGCTTGTAAATCAAGGGCTTACATATGTAATTGGCCCAACCTTAAGAGCAAACAACAGCAGTGGTAGCACCGTGCCAGCAATTATTCATGCCTGTAATAAACGGCTGTAAAATTGAAAGCCAGCCTTTAAAAATCTGGCTCCTCACTGCACAAACAACAAAAACTCATTTGCAAGGCTTGGCCAGGGGAGTTTTTAATTTGGGGAGAGAGATTGAGGTGGGTGAGGATTTATTTTTTCTCTTTTCATTCTCTAAAAACACTATTCATGCCCACGTTTAGGTCACGGATTACCCTGGCTACATTTCAGCACTGTGGAATAAACCCAGTGAAACACACAGGGGACAAATCTGCCCTCTGCATTCCAAGAGCAGGGCCCTGGGAGCAGGCACAGCTGATCCCCATCCCCTGGCACGTGGGAACAGTGAATCGTTTGCAGCCCTTCCTGCCTCTGTGCTGAGCCAGCAGCGAGCCCGCAGATGAGCCACCATCCCTGGGGATGGCACAGCCACTGGCCCTCCAGCTCCAGCAAACCCCGTGCTGCTGTTCCACACCAGGACAGGGATGCTGAGCCTTGCACAGGTCCTGCCAGTTAACAAGAGCATCCTGGCTGATAAATCACTCCTGAGGGTCAAGCAGCAAACATCTCTCTGTCTCTCGTGCCCTCTTTAACCAACCGTGGCTGCCATGCAGCGCTCCTGGACTTGCAGGGGCAAAGGGTGATGAGATCATTCCTTTTGCTGTGCACATTTCTCACCCACAACGCCAGAGCAACCCCTTCTCTTCTAGCAACTCTTCAGAGCAACTCTTCTAGCATGTGGCTGAAAATCTCCTTGGTGGTGCCGAGCAATGGCACCAGAGCTGATCCCTGCTCCCAGCACGAACAGATTTTTCCCACTCCAGCAGCAAATGAGAGTAGCAAGGACCTTCCACATGCTCTGGACAAGATTAGAAGGTCTGAGGCACTGACAGACTTCCTTACTAGGGAATCAGCCGCTTTACATCTTCCTTTGGCATTTCTGGTTGGCTTCCTCCTGCTTTAAGCAGTGGCAGAGCACGAATGGAAGAGCTCTGTGAGGACTGCTCTCCCTCTCCGCTGTGGAAAGCTTCCCTCATCAGAAATCCCCTCTAACTACCAAGTTTCAGTTTCTTCTGAAGGAAGCCGCATTCATCACAGTTCAGAAGGGACCTTTTGGCCTAATCCCCACTAGAAAAACTGCCAAACTGATCCTCCCATCACACAATTAGCAGCCACGGAGACTTTGCTACACCGGGCGATGCGGCGCTGCTATGACAACAGGAACGGGAGCCTCGTTAAGGGTCTCATCGAGAGGGATAACGAGCAATCACAGCTCCGAGAGGAGCAGGAATCAATGGGAGCTGTTGATACCAGCGCGTTTTGCTGCATCGGGCCAGGTACTCGGGAGCCCTGGAAGCCTGACTCGCATTGTTACGGCACGGTCGCCGCGAGTACAACTTCTGAGGACAGGCAGATTCCTGGGGAGTAGAGATGAATATTCATGAAGGAGCTCAGTTTGGGAGAGGAAATGAATCAAGTGTGACAAATGCCGCCTATTAGGAAAAGAGGGTGGCGTCTATTTTTAGTGGAGTTAAGCAAACATTAAAGCTCACTCTCTAAGAACTCCAAATAATACCACTCCCTGCTCTGCCTCCCCATCGGCAGATAAGAATTTAGCAGCACGTTCCCACCAGCCAAAACCCGCTCTCCTCAACAGAACTTTTCCGATTTAGCCCCCGTGAGTGTTTTATAAAAATACAAATTTTAATCTCTCATCTGCATAGGAAGATGTAACGGCTTCCACCAGGATTTATTTTTTCCCCCCCTTCTCCAGCATCATAAGGCTTGAAGGAACCTTTTTAAGACGGAAGAAAACGCTGCATTGAAATCTCCTAAAAGAGCACTCACGCGGAGCTGTAATCACTTCAGATGCACAGAATTATCAGGAGGAGAAAATTCATCTCACTTAGAATCAAGCCCCAATTTGAAGCAGAAAGGAAGAGGCTTGGTTTGCCACCGTGCCAAGCACTCAGACTTTTCACTGAAGTCAAAGAAGCTACAGCTGCTCTGAGCCATTGAAAATCATGCCCAGAATCTCTAGCGAAACTTGTTTGCAGAGATGGCAGCAGGCTGATAAGGATGTTGACTATTCCAAATAGGCTCATGTTATTTTGTATTTTTAGAGATACTTAGTCTGCCTATTATTATTATGAAGCAGAGGTGGAGTATTTACTGCCCTTTTCTAGAAATCTGTACAAATGCTGCTTTTCAGCAGGCTCCTCTGTTCTTCTGGTGAACGTTCCTTCAGGCTTATAAACGTCCAGTTAAGGAAGACAACAATGAGAGGATAGTGCCTAACAAAAACACCACCATGCCCACAAAGCTGCTTGAGAGGCCTTCATCCCATAAGATAAGCTGCTCCCCAGCCAAGATTAAAACCAGAGCATTTGAAGAGCAGTAGGATACGGGTGGTCCTAACAGTGAGCCCTCCAAGACCCCTGGGTGGGATGGAGGGTCATGAGCCAGGGGTGAAGGACACAAACTTGGCACAAACTCTCCAGGCTCAGTCCAGGCTCTGCTGGCTCCTCCATGCACCAAGGGCCAACTCTTCGAGGCAAATGCCCAAACTGCCCCACATGCAACACCATGTGGCCTCTGTCACCCCTCCTGTAGAGCATCAAGCACAGTCTTAGCATGGCTTTAAAAAGAAGTTGCTCTGAAATTAGACATGCCAAGTGTTTATTATCAATACCAGTCTCTGGCACCAACAGCAGAGAGACACAGCCTTTCCCAGAGCATCCAAACCCTGGGAAATCTTCTATGGCTTTGGGATCACAGGTGGTGTCCCTTCCTGAGGTCCCCTCCTTGGCCCTTCCTTTCTGACTGAGCGTCCTCATGATTCCCCCTCAGCTTTCAGGTTACAAGCTCCCCTTCCATGTGGAGGGGAAGACACCCATGGTTAACAAATTGTGACTGGGTGCACTGGGGCAGCCTGCATGCCCAGCACATCTGGGACCCCACCAGGACAACAGAGCTGTCCATACATCACCTCCTGGTGCTCGGCAGGGCCATTTGTCAGGGCAGTTGGGCCCGGAGTCCTTTGGAGAGCACATCTCCGTCCCTCACCATGCCAGCCCTCAGCAACTGTTGCCATGGTTATTTTATTGGAGTGCTTTTCATCAAGGAGATGCTGCAACTGCTGAATTGTCTCTTGCAAGAGTTTTATAGGAATAACTAGCTGATAAGTAGGAATAACAGGTTCAGACTGCCCACGGAAGCCAGCGATCCCAATTATTTTTGTTTTGATCCTGCCTTTCTTTTGGTCTCCGCCAGGCTCAGGTTTAAAGCGGGGGTTAGAGATAAGCAGCAGAGAAGGAACGCTTCCTGATGGGAAACGCACTTGGCTCTGCCAGGAGATTAAAGGTCTCTCCTCACACAAAGCCTCTGCTTTTCAATCAACCCTAAATAGGCTCTAACAAGGCACAGCAATCAACCAGGCAACATATATCCATCCTCACCTGTCGGCTTGGGGCGAGGAACAAGATGTATTTCCCGGTTCCATCATGCTAATTGTTAATCAAGATATTATCGGCACAGCCCCAGAGCCGTCCGTCAGTGGGGCAGTGAGGGATGGCCGGGCTGTGCTCCTGCCCGCAGCGGGAGCGGCTCTGCCGCCGGCCCACGGCTCTGCTGGGGCTCGCGGTGAGGCGGCCGCTTGCAGACCCACTTTCAGCATCACAGAATGCAGGAATAAAGCCTGCTCTGGAGAGCCAGGGCCGTTTTGTTTAGTGCTCATTGAAAGCTCTGGGTAATGATGGATCTGCTCTTCCCCCGCTGACGGGGTCCCACAGCGCAGGCCGTTAGGCTTTGAGCAACAGAAATGCCTTTTTCTGCTCTCTGCTGTCCCTGGCACAGGGCTTGGGTAGGGAGGTGCTGCCTCAGCCCTGGAGAGGCACATGGAGCCCACTGCAGCCTGCACAGCCACCAGCAGCACCCAAATCCCAGCCCGTGACAGTGGAGGGGCTGCCCAAGGAACAGGACTCTCCCCACAGAGGGATGCAAAAGAGCAGGGGAAGATCTCAGCTTCCTTCACAGGAACGAGCCCAAGGGCAAACAAAATCTATTAGATTTTTCTTTCATCTTTTTTGGGAGCATCAGGCCCAGCATTGCCACACAGGCAAGGGAAGGGATTGTCCTGCTCTATTCTGCACTGGAGGGGCTTCACCTTGAGTTCTGAGACAGTTTCGGGTGCCACAACATCAGAGCCCCAGAGCTGTTCCCGATGCCCGAAGGAGGGCCTGGGCTGGGGAAGCTCTGCAGGGGCCACCCGAGGAGGGCTGAGGGCACTGAGCTGGTTCAGCTGCAGAGAGGAGCCCAGGGCAGAGCTCAGGGAAGGAGGGAACGGCTGCAGGGGAGCTTTGGGATGGACACCAGGGAAAGGTTCTGCCCCAGAGGGTGCTGGCACTGCCCAGGCTGCCCAGGGAATGGGCACAGCCCGAGGCTGCCAGAGCTCCAGGAGCCTTTGGGCACCAGGGATGCACAGGGGGCACTGCTGGGGGGTCTGGGCAGGGACAGGGGCTGGACTGGATGATCCCAGTGAGTCCTTTCAGCTCAGGATAGTCTGAGTCCAGATGTAAGCCAAGCACACCTCGCACCTGGAGCTGGGCAGACACTCTGTGCTGTGCCATGGAGGCACTCGACAGAGCCACGGGGTTTGACAGGGTGTCTGCCTGGTAGAGACACCTGAGCTGCTACCAGTGGGCTCAGACAGCCAAGCTGGAGCCCCCAGACTGGTGCCAGCCCCTCTCCCTCCCTGGGGCTGAGCTCCCCTCCTTGCACTGGCACAGGCAGATGTGGCTGCAGAGAATCACAGCCCCTGGCAGCACCTGGACACTCTGCAACCACACATGAGGGATGGGCCCTTCCTGGAGAGAACTCTGCACTTCTGGAACAGCCACAGGCTAAAGACAAAGAAGTGAATGTGGATGATGTGACCCCAGAGAGATCAGGATTCAGCCATTCTCAGGGTACCAAAAGAGACAGAAGACGACTTTGCCAATTCCAGCTGAAATAGCTGGATTTAAAGAAATTAAATTTGTCAGTTCATTAGTGTGTAACATAAGAATGAAAAAGGCATTTCTAATTCCTGATCCGCTAATCCACAATCCGCTGATCTGCAATCCCCAGAGTCCCCAGGGAAAGAAAAGAAAATCCACAGCAGTCTCATAGTGTCTCTCCACAACTTCTGGCCAGCTCCTGCAGAGAGAGCTCAGCTACAGAGCCTTCCTCCCTGTACAAAATCTACCTCAGCAAACCTGCTGCCATCCTAGGGGGTCAGGGGTAACAAAAATCAAACTGCACTTGTTGGAGTGAGCAAACACTGCATGTTTGGTGAGGTGCTGGGTATGATGTCCCAGGAGTTAGCTCAGCTGCCCACAGATCTGCAGGATCAACTCATTTCCAGCAGTGCTCCCACTCATCAGGACAATTAGCAAGGTCCCAATCACCTTCTTAACTGGGAGGGCTGATACTGCACCACAGGAAGGGGTGCTGGTGCCTGTTAAAACACTGTCCTGGCTGCATCTGGGAGATGCCCCCTGTACCTTGTTCCCAGCTGATGGCCCCATGGATGCTATTTGTTATCCAGTTTGCCCAGCAAGACCAATTCAGTGCACACACACCTGCCGAGCACACATAGCTGTGGGCCCCGAGCCATGTCCACACTTTAAACCATCATCTCCACAGCCAATTTCAACTTCCTACACCAAATCCTTC